TGATGGCGGTGACTGTAATTAAAATGGTAAGATTTGAGGTAAAGGACTCCTCTTTAGATGAGGCTTAGGCTTGTCAGACATTGAACAGGAGACATTTTCCCAATATATAGCCTAATTATGTTTTATATTTATATGTTTACTTACAATTTTTATGACCAGTGTCAAAGTTTCATAATTACATCTCTATTGTGATCATTCAGTTGCGTTTCTGAATCCTGGTCAGGAATGTAAACTTATTGGTGGCACCATCAGATCACAGCTCTGGTGCAGTGAAGATGTTGCTGGTGCTGTCTACTCTCTGAGAAGAGTAGGGTTTAACAGTGTCCAGCTGTGATAAATGAAGGTCAAATTTGACAGCCAAAGAATAAAGAGAAACTTGTAAAAGAAGGAAACAGCTGGATTTGTAAGATGGACCACCTTGTACTTGCACACAGTCCTTGTGAAGGCAGGCCAACCAGCTGAATTTTGAACACCAAACATTCACCCAAGGTGGTTAAAGACATTTTGTTCAGTGCCTCAATCTTGCTCAGTTAATTTCAAGTTTTTTTTACTCCTTTTATCTGTCTTTTTTTCAGTTTCCATTTTGTTCTTTCGTGTTCAAGATATTCCAGAGAGCTGTATCTTTCACCAAAGTAGATTTAAGTAATATAAAGTACATATAAATTACATCTCTAATTGCAGAGCCTTTCACATCACCTTTAACCTTCTTTCATTATTACAGATCTTGTAAAGTCTGTTACCTCTTAATAATATTAATAACAATAATAATAATTGTTATTAGTCTTAGTATTATTCCTGTATCCATAATTTTATCAACTATTTTGCATTCTCGGGTATTCTTGTTTTTTGTATTTTGTATTCTTTTGTATTCTTGGGTGATCTCATATTTAGACTAGGTGTTCATTATTAAACTCTTTACATGACTCCAGGAGAGCCCTGCACAAGAATTCATATATGCCTAGACTGTGTATTTATGCATAAATGGCGAATAAAAATCTTGAATCTTGAATTATTATCATTATTCGTAGTAGCAGTAGTAGCAGCAGCAATTTAATAATCCAAACTCCAGTCCAGTAGGTGGCGGTACTGCACCTGTAAGATAGTTTGCCACCCGCCACACATTAAGAAGAAGAGAAAGAAGAAGACGAAGAAGAAGAAAAAGAAAAAGAGGCTTAAAAAAGCTTTATTGAGCCAAGGAGCAAACTAAATAAACCCAAACAGTGGCATAAAAACAATATTAAATAATACATAACAAAGGAAGACAGTGAGAAGAAAAAAGTACAGTAATGAAGCATGATAAATAAAAATTTAAATTCAATTGTATAAACTTCACATAAGCATAATATTTTAACAGCTTTGGCATATTTTGAGAGTTTAATACTTCCCAAGTATCTTTTGATGTTATTTATGAAGACATAATAGGTTTGCTGTTATTAAATGTACATTTATTAATATAATATTTAGCAATTATAAAAAAAACATTTGTTATAAAATATTTGTTGTTATCCTTCATGTAATCAAAAGTCCTAAAAAGAATGTCTTTAAAGGAAAAACAGAACACAGTGAAAATTTTACTGTGAATAAAAGCAAGAATGTCTGAGCAAAATAGTTCACTTATTTTAAGGAGCAGAATTACAGAAAGAGTAACTGGTGTCAATGTGTTTTTCTTGAAGAAAGAAAAGACTTAACAGGATAAAATGTATACAGTCTTTTAAATGAAATTTCTCTCATCGTATTAGATAAAATAGATTTATAAGGTAAGGTCCAAACTCTTTTCCAAGATATGTTACTGATAAAACTATTGCAGTATGAGATTACATAAGATACTGAGACAGTAAGTTGTTGAAAGAGTGCTCTAACTTTTTTTATTACTGTGATGAAGCATAATTTGGTAGGTAGGTACTATTTTGATCCCACAGCGGAAATTTCTCTGTTACAGCAGCAACAGAGAACAACCAACATAACACCATAAGAACAGACACATAAGAACAGAACTTCATAGAAACACGGGAAAGAACACAATGAGGACACAGCTGCTGTAACTTTCTGCCACTCCGAGCGGT